GAGAGAGAGGGAAAAGAAAGAGACATCTCGAAACGGGCAGAGCTGTCTTGCGCCGCGAGACGACTTAAGCGTTGCGCTTGATGCACCGCCGCGCGTCGTTCCCTGTGTCGTCTAGGGATAATCTAGCAACCAGTCAAGGGGGGGATCATCCTCTATATAGTTTTAAAAATATATCTGGGTCATCCGCCCGTCGTGTTTTCTCGGATACCTACACGAAAATGACGCCGCTCCGCAACAGCTTTATACTGAAAAGTGTAAGGGACTCTTGATAATTTTCTAGCCGAGAAATAAATCACTGTCAGCGTGATAAATATGTTACTTAATTTTTAAAAGAAAAACCATCAAGACCGCGCGCGCAAGCATATTTTATGGCGATAAATTGCCCATCGATGTTGAACGTGGACAAACTACGCGTATCAACAGAAGATATTAGAGGGTTTTAAGATGACGGGTCCATACATCAAGAATGCAGAAGCAACATTATTATGTAATAACGTTTGCGCTTGGGATATTTGAGATAGAGAACGAACAAAGTTGCTCAATATACATCATTTAACCGCGGTATCTATGCAAATTTGGAGAAAGTGTGACGCGAGATTACGTCATCACGTATATTATAATAATAAGACACAATAAGAAATCAATATATATTGCACTCAATGCTACAATTGTTAGATACGGTCAAGCAGATATAAATATTATAATCTCTTAAGCCTTATGAATGTTTCTTAAAACATTCCGAGGAATGTTTTGAATGGACAAAGGCGAAAAAAAGAACCGGTCCGGAATACACTAACAGGTTCCCAGAAAAGAGCCCCACAACACACACGTTGCTGCTCCACGCGAAAAAAAAATGGGCGTAGCGGCGTCCATGCGGTCGAGAGCCTTATGGGCGAGAGCGAGTGGTACATGACTATTGTGCGTAAGCTCCCATTATAACGCGGTAAGCTATGCATTATACGGCGATAGCCCGGATCGAGAAGCCGTGTCCGCCTGTCTCCGCGGCATGCCGGGTCGCGTTCCGTATAAAGTGAAAAGGGGGCTCGGGTGGCGATCTCCGGGGCCTATTTATATTATGCTAGAAGTCGGAGAGAGTGCGAGACAGAGAAAAAGAAAGATAGAGAGTGAAAGAGAGACAGAGAGAAGAGGGAAAAGAGCGACCGGCGCGAGCCGCAGCAAAAACAACAAAGGGGCGCGAGAGACGGCTACTTGGCGAATCTAGTTACCGAGAAAGGCGAGGCTCGCGATACTTAAAACTGCGATGGAGGAGAACGCGACAAAGCACGAGAGATCTCCTCTCGTGTCTCTCTTCGCACCACTTTTTTTTTCAAAAGAACGGGAAAGAGACTCGAATATCCCTCTCCCAGGCTACAATTCTATGTGAGACGAGAAGTTTGATTCTCTCATTATATAATATTGAATTAATTTTCCATTCATTAAATCGATTCCCTTTGTGTGTGTTTTATAAAATAAAGTAAATCCTTACTCTTTCACGAAATTAATTTCATTTCATGAATAATAATACTGATTATTTTACGCTATATATTGCTAATTTATTACTAATAATTAAAAAAAAAACGGAAAAAGTTCGAGTATCTGCTAGGCTATAATTCTGTGGAACGGGAAACTCGGTCCCCTCATTACATGACGTTAAATTAATTTCCCATTCACTGAGTTCGATTCTCTTTGTTTTACAAAATAAAATAATTATAAAATAAAATAATCTTTACTCTTTTACAAAATTAATTTCATTCCGTACATAAATAATAACCGTTCTGGTTATTTTACACAATTGCCTATTACTATTTCATTACACATGATTAAACCCAACGTTTAATTTATACGGCAATAATTATCGCAAGAGATTTAAGATTCATGCAGCGCATCGCATTAATATAACAGAAAACGGGGAAAACTGATTCCCGGGAGCAGATTCAGCTCCCTCGGATGTGCACAAAGATCCCTTTCCCCTACGTGTCCCCCCCCCCTCATCCAATGCGTTTTATGGCATCCGACTAATTATAAGCACAGATGCCTTGACAGAAATTTTATTGCGACGCAATATCAATATTCTGAAAGATTCCAGGGGCTCCGCGAGAGATAGAGCAAGCCCCGCGCGCGCGTTCCGCTCTCTCTCTCTCTCTCTCTCTCTCTCTCTCTCTCTCTCTCTCTCTCTCTCTCTCTCTCTCTCTCTCTCTCTCTCCCCCCCCGACTAAGCACTCCCATTACGGCTGCATATTTAATGTGCGCTGTCGCATAAATGCACGTTACGGATAGCTGGGCGTATTACAATAAGCAATTAACGAGCGATATCGTGTTCTATAAATTACGAAGCTCGGATGCATCGGCGTAACCGATGCTCGCGTACGCGAAACGCGAAACGCGCGACTGCATATCCGTGTGTGCGATATACCGTGCGCGGGGAGCGCGCGCGCGCGTGTTGTACACCGGTGCTAGAGAGTACACACGCCGGGCGGGTTATATATACGAACTCGAAATAACGAGCCCACGGAAAAGGGAATAACATGGAAGCGGCGTGCGCGATCCGCGCTCTCGCATTATCGGGATTCTCCATTATCGTTCTTAATCTTCCGTAATGCGATCCGAATGCGCACATTCGCGATTTCCTCTCTTTTTTCACCGTGCGCTCGACAGTCATACGTCCCGATCTCTCTCTTCTTTTTTTTTTTCCTCCGCGTGAAAAATACACGATTCCATGCCGGCCGCGGAATAAAAATGGAAACGATTTCAATCGCGACGTTACGGTGGGAAACGTTCCGGATATTCAATAACCAAGGCATTCAATATCGTAACGCCGAGAGAGTCGGCCGAGTTACACAGATGTTTTCCCAGCATATATATTCGGGGCGATATTTCCAGAAACCGCTACATTGACTCTCGGGGGCACTAATTCAATTTGTATGGAATCTTTTCTCGAGATCATAATCGGGATTAGCCGGAGCGCGCGACAGCGCGGCGACGCGGGGATGCTGCGTAAAAGGGGGGGGGCCTCTCCCCACAATAGAGGCGGGGAGGGAGGGGCGGAGGGGGAGAAGAATCCTCCTCGGCTCTCGCTGCGTTACGTACACACGCACACACGGAGGACGGGGACGACGAAGTGCATTCTTCGCCCAGTATAGCAGGCGTCGGGTCGGTGTCGCATCGTACAGGCTCGTAGGTATAGTGGAGGCGAGGTGAGGCGAGAGCGAATCGGTCGTTACCAACCAGCAAGCAAGCAGGCAAGCAAGCAGCCAGGCAGGCAGGCAGGCGGGCGGACGGACGGGGCATATACCACGGACGGGCAGAGGCGAGGGTGCGTCGCCCGGGATATCGATCGCCTCTAAACAAACATGGCTCGTTTTAGTCGAAGGAGTCGACTTCTATCCCGTATAAATCACGGTTATTCCTTCCTGCGCCCGTACATACGGGGTGTCCATTTTCGTTCGTGTGACACCGACACCGTTCCCCATCGCCGCTCGTCGTCACCGCCGTCGCCGTCGCCGTCGCCGTCGCCGCCGTCACCGCCGCCGCCGCCGTTCACTTTGCCTCGCAACCTCGCGAGTGAACCGAGTGAACGAGCGGCGGCGGAGGTGAGAGAAGTCGTTTCGAGGCACTCGAGGCTCTCTCGCGAGCACGCGGAAGGGAGTAGTACTGTACGCGAGGGGAGACGTCGAGTCGCGGATGCAACCATTTTTGCCGTCAAGGGAGGGAGGAGGGGAGAGTTTATTCGTTCCCTTGTTAACACAGCTGAGAATAGATTGGAATACACCGTGCGGAATTTGGCCGATAAACGCATTATGAAAGCCGTTTGCCTTTCCGTCTGTGAGCTCCCCGCGTGTATAATTGTTTAATTAGAGCGTAAACGAGGAAGTAAATTACTTCTCTGCAATTTAAAATGTATTCGAGAAGTCACTGTACATTTTTGTTTCCTCGGTAAACTCGCTGTTGCGTAACAAAATTAATATCTTTCTATTGTTTGATATAACAAAATTAATATCGCTTTATTATTTGAATATTATTTTACAAAGAGTGGAAGAGAAATGGTTGCAAGAGATTATCGTAAAAAAGAGAGGCAGAAAGAGAGAGAGTGGAGAGAAAGAGAGAGAGAGAGAGAGAGAGAGAGAGAGAGAGAAAATGAAAAGAGACTGTGACGAATGGCACTTTGAGATAAGCAAATGCGCCGTGTAAAATTATGAAGTCGTATATAAAATTTAGAATTTTACTGTCGAGTATAAAATTACGTTTATTGATGCCCGCGTGCTCTTTTTTTTACACACGAATTGTATTTTGTACGCTTCGGCGATTTGTTAACTCAACCGATTTATCAGCTAGCAATCCCCTGGACTGTAAACTGACATTGAAAAATTACTGGCGCTTGATCTTGGCGATAATGTACAAAGAGGGTATTACAACTGAGTGATTACGACGTTTTGTTTTACACGTCCGTGAACGTGAATGAAGTTTCTTCAGCAAGTGCGAAAAGATGTATTTCGCCGATTACGATTTCCATATAAAAAGGACGCGAGAGAGAGGTATCTTATCGGCTTGGCGCTCGGCTACAAGATTAGCGCTCTAATCGACACCTGCGCGGGAAAATAATTACATACCCGGCCGCGGCGGGGACAACGTTTGGTCGTATCGCCGACAATAGCTAATCCATACTGCGCCGGTTCACGCGAGAGTGCGACCGGTCGATGAGCTTGTCCGAGAGAGAGAGAGAGAGAGAGAGAGAGAGAGAAAGGGAGAGAGCTTTCGTTCTGGCTTAGCCTGTCTCGCTCTTCCGCGAAATCGTCGGACGTCGCCGTTTTGATCGACACGGACTCTCGGGCAGCCGTGGAATTTCTTGAGGCGAGAAGCCCGTTTCACGGGGATTCGTTCCGAGTTTAACGAGTGGGGGTCTCCTCTCCCTCGCGCGGTTGTCTGATACGCTACCCGGTATAATCCGGGCGTAAAAAGGAGGATGACGAGAGAGTGAGAAAAGACGGGCGGCTGGCTCTTACCTGCGACTGTGAGAGTGGCGTTCCTGCTCGGGACGAATCCGGCCTTATTCCGCGCGACGCACCAATATACACCGCCATCCTGCTCCTTCTTGCCGTGCATCACCCGCAGAAAGAACAGGGATCCCGTAGGCAGCAGGACCCGATGCGACTTGGCGTCCCCATGCGGCGACGTCTGCACGAGCTCACCGTCCTTGTACCACTCTATCACCGGTTCGGGCTTACCCTCCGCCTTGCAGTTCAACGTCACCGGCTCATTTTTCGCGACTATTATGTCGGACGGGTGCTCGGTTATCCGTGGACTTTTCAGCTGTCCTGAAAGCAAAAAGAGGAACGAAGAACTCTTTAGCGGGATCTCTCAACGTTGCGGCGTGTCGTGTCGTCTTGGCAATCTAATTAGTTCGCCCCTTCAGAGGGTCTGAGATATTTTCGCCGCGACGCGCGGCACCGCATTCTTTCACGTTAAATTATTTCGTCTTGGGTAAAAAAAAATAAACATAACGGAGACTAATCATGTCCAATTAACGCCTCGCAAACACTTCGATAACGATCTGTCGCGCTTCGTCCGAAAAATCTTATTCGGATGCCTCTATCGAATTATGGAAATCTTTTGCTATTAAGTTTAAAATGAATTTCGTCTTAGAACAGAATGTATTTAAGATCCGTTTACGAGATATCATTAAGTTATCTAATCAGTTCAATCAGAGATATTTTCACCGCTACGTGCGGCATCGCAATCTACTTTCACGTTGAACTATTTCATCTTGAGCAAAAATAAGCGCAAACAGAAATTAATTTAAGTGTTCAATTAATGTCTCGCAAATATTTCGACGACGATTATCTCATTTATCCGAAAATATCTTATTACGAATGCTTCTGCCGAAATTATAAAATTTTGCTATTGGTTCAAAGTGGACTTCTTGATCTTAATAAGGAACGTATTTAGGATCTGTTTACGGAGATATTCATCATTAAGTTATGCTAATCGGTGTTTGTTGAGAAGGTTTACATAAATTTCCCGTTATTTCATCGCGTCTGGTGTACGCCATCCCACCTCCCACCTCCCTCCTCCCTCCCCAGCCCCTTCTCGAGACACCGCGTATAACACTGAGATCATATAAATTTATTGGCACGTCGCCAATATTAATCTTTCGAAGAGGCTGCCAATATTAATATCACGAAGCCGCTGTTTACGTATACTCATGCGATCGAACGCCTTTCTTCGCGGCGCGCCGCGCCGCCGTGAACACCATGAATTTTCTTCTTGTTTTCGCGCGCGTTGACTATCCTATCTCTCCACTTTCTCAATTTTGTATGGAGCGCGGCACTGCGCAAAAGGTGCACTGTGATCTCGTTAATTTTCAAACACCCGGTCGTAAACCAGCTCAGAAACGAAAATTAAATCCAGTTTCAGCCCCCCTCCCCCTCCTATCTCCGCCGCCTTATTTTTAAGCACCATCTCGTAAAATTTTCAGCGCTTTAATGCCCGTTGTGGATAGCGCGCAGAGCGCAAAAGGGATGGAATTTATATACGAAAGTTTTGCATTTTACGTAGTAAAAAACTATGTTAATGCACAAGCTGTATAATTTGTGTCAACGCGCCGGGCATTAAATCCATGTAAACTCGATTCGACATGTTTACGAGTCACCGCAATTAGCGGCAATATAGAATCGCATTACTAGGAATTAATGCAAATAATGGAGGACGTTTTGCAACGTGCAATATGGAGATCGCATTTCTAGCATTAATTAATTTTAATTCAATTATTCTCGTTTTTATGCGTGGAACGTGCGACGAAGGGAGTGATTTATTGATGAATGCGATACAACATGTGTTTTCATCAACGCGGTGTAAACAAATCATAAACCGATTTGCCGGTGACACACTGTGCAACGCTTTCCGGCTCGGCTAATATTACGTAGCATCTCGCCGTGACATTTTATAAATATAACGAACGTACGAATTATGCATCACAATAACCCGAATAATCTCGACAGCGTAAAAACGTGAGAAACAAAAACAATTATTTTCAATTACATTTATTATACCGTATTAAATTATTAGCGAGCTTTTGTACGTATCGTGTATAATTTTACATTTTCCTCTCCTCAGAGGAAGCATTTTCGAATGTTTCTCACAGTCTCGAGATTCCCTTTCAGAGAAGCCGTCTCTATTCACGGGAACACGCGGATGCACAAGGATAAAAAAAAAGTTAATAGATCGCTGCGTAAATAATTAACTTAAATAGTTAAAAATTTTTAACTACTCCCCGCGATAGCATCGCAGCGCGTTAGCAAAAAGCGCGATAGAGTTCTCAGAGAGAGAGAGAGAGAGAGAGAAAGAGAGAGAGAGAGACTCTCTCGTCCGAGGCTGCACAACCACGTCCGTCGTCCACCGGATAGGATAATTCCGCGGCAGTTTTTCGCCGTTCGCTCTAATAGCTACCAGAGATCGTCGCGTACCACGCATTCGCGCATCCGGGCGCGCTTTGATGCACGCACACACATGCACACGTGCGCGCACGAGGAATCACGCGTGTGCGGCGGCGGTGGCGGTGGCGGGCACCCAGCGCGAAAGTCATACTACGTATGCGTGCATGTGTGGCGCGGGTGTCCTATTTAGATAACTGAATTATGGATGAATTATTGGCCGCCGGTGTATACGTAGTGCAGGTATATAATTTGATAATATCGCCGCCTCTGGCGTCCTATCTCCGTGCCACGAGATTTCGGGGCCTCGCCGCTGCCGCGTCGTGGTGTATGTCGCTCGCCGAACCGTCCATATGCATTATGCGTGCAGCGCGCGCTCGCTCTCGCGTGTACGTGCACATGAGTAGTGTATAGTACGTGAGAGCGGCGCGACGCTACATTGTCGCGTCGCGTCGCGTCGCGTCGCTTCCGCGTCGGTGTGAGCGGAGCAACGTGTAGGCAAGTATTAGTCATCGATAGTGGCTCGGATTACCTGTGGTTACACGCATTATTAGATAGGCGCACCGTGCTGCTGTCTAGCTCGGCAGGCATTCCTCCGCCAAGTGCCTGATGCGCGCCGTGTACATTGCACGTGTGTTAAAAGGCGAAACCGATAATCGGATGACTTTTACAGAAAAGAGAATCGATACTTGCGTATCGGAGGATGAGGAGCGGGGGCTTTTCGAGTTATTTATTTATTTATTTAGTGCATTTTTTCTTTTGGAGAGAAGAGTATTATGCAAATAAAAGGCGATTTATTACAATTTAATTGCTATTTTATAATTTATAATGTGCAACTTCGCTCTGATCAGTAATTTTAGAAGTTGTAATTTAAAGTAAATGTAATTAAAAATAAATAGATTATACGGATGTAAAATTCAATAATTGATTAACCGTTTTAATTATCTACCTTTCAATTATCGAGATTTAATCTAATTCTCTAAATTACAAGTGGAGGTGAAAAACACGCGTGCTTAAATCCTGTTAATATACATATTGAAGAGGGAGAGGAAAAAAACACAGGATCTCCGATATAAAATAATTGGAGCTGACTCTTCGCGTTTTTTCGTAAACGCCGCATTATTAGCAGATTCGATTATTTTCATCGAGCGCAAAAAAGCACAGGTGCAATCTCCCGGTCACTAATGTGAATAAGGACGTGGGCGCAAGAGGAGAAACAGAAAAGTGACGAAGCAAATTACACGGGTGCACCTATTATTAGCCCGTTATAAAGGCCACGGACGATTTCTTTTTTTTTTTTTTCAGCAATATAGCTCCGCTCGTGTAAGAAATTGAGACCCCCGGTCGAAATCAGAAAGCGTACGGCGGATGGTAAAAAAAAAGGAAGGCTCGATAACACAAGAGCTCGCTTAACTTTGACAGAGGTAAAAAGGGCTACACGCGATATCCTACAGCTATTTGTACCTTCTCATCGGAAAAATTCGACTACAACGTACATTTCCCGTCTTCTATCTTTTTTCCGCGTATATAAAACCGCGTAGAATATCCTTCATTAATTTGAGAAACGAGTACAAATGGTACGATCGTACCATCTATCTTCTGGTAGTGAATTTAAGCGTGTAATTTCGACGATTAGATGGCGCGATTGACCTTTAAATTTAAATTGTCAAGAGTTAAATTGGCCTCTTATGTCTCGGCAATTTGCTCGGCGGCGTCCGCCGTTTGCCTCGTGTGAGCCCCCTTAAGCGACATACGAGGTGGTTCGTACTGTGTTTGCAACTCATTATCATACCAGTTTCCACTTTTGCTATCACTAGGGCACACCGTGTGTGGAGCAGCACGTCGTAGAAGGCCAACCAGGCGTCATATTCCACTAGTCATTCGCCTCGTTGCCATTGTGTATTCACTTAGCTTTCTCGTGCGTTCGTCGCGCAAGGTTAACGCAAACAGAGAGTGAGCCCCGACCTTTCTGTAGTACTTTGTTTAAACAGACGCGAATAAATTATTCATGTGAAACGCGATCCTGATTTTTAAAAAAATCCTCCATCACACAATCGTATAACCGTGAGTTAAATTAAATCGCCGAAGTGTCTCTAACGAATTTCTCCCGCTGCATTTTGAGATCTCGAAATTTTGAAAAATCAAAAGTATATTTTTCTCGCCGGGATCGCGTACGATTGTTCTTCGGATATTTGTATTACTTTACTATACACACATTCGTAACGTGTGTCGTTTAATTACAATTTTGTTTTGCGCTGCTCGAGAGACTTATGTACAGACGTCGTCGCGTCTCGCATACCAAAGGCGCTTCTCGGCACGGATCTCCAGTTTAATGTGACTTCCCTAAGTCCGTGAAATTTAAACGAGGATCCGAATGTGCTCGGGATGTCGAATGCTGTTCTTAACATCGGTTAGACATCCGGCGGGCGGGCTGTACGGCCGGGTGCTGCGCGATGCTTAATCCTTTGTTTGAATTATTCAGAGGTTGCATGTTGCCGTAGTGGTAACATGCGCCGAGCATTTTCCGAAAAGAAACGGATACGCGCTTTATATGCAAACGAAACAAACTACGTTCACGTATAGCCGCCCGCCGTCGCCGCGCGTCGCGGGAAGGTAAACCTTGCGTCTGACAGAGAACGGCGTCCGTAACGACGCCGTTTCCTCGCACCTCGCGACAAACACAGGCCGTACAGTTAACGAATAACTTACGTTACAATCACTTTTCCGAATTTTCACGGGCTTCCTTCGAATTCCGGATCGCGAAATTGCGTGAAACCCCCGTCCCCCTTCCCCTCCCCCTCTCTAACACTATCTCGTGTATATAACACCGCCGGTTCCGCCATAATCGGATTTCTGTCGCTGCTCGTGCAGAATCGTTCGATATC